GCCCACAGTCAACTTTAGGACAATGCAAGGTGCAGGTACTACATAAAATACAGGGCACCCAACCAAATCTGAATTTTAATAAGCAGCCAAAAAATTAAAGTATTAAATATTACATATGATACACTTATACTAAAAATTATTCTTTATCTGAAATTCAGATTTAACTATATACCCTATGCTTTTATTTGCTAAATCTGGCAACAATGAGATGGTGGGAGGTAGAGGGGCTCACTAGACTACTTCCCACCTGTGTGCTGAAAAAGTGTTTATGCAAAAGGAAAGCAGTCGTACATTCCATATAACATTCATTCCCCTTGCCAGCTACATGGAACTCACCCTTTCCTTTAAGGAAAACATATAAGTCATGCAGATTCCCATTCCTGTTTCTTCCAGAGACATGGAGCTTTCCACTATGCTGGCACTTTTACTCCTGCTCCAAGTCTCTAATGCAGTCGCGTGATGTCATCCGTGTCACATAAAGACGGGTTAGAGGATGCACTGGCAGAATCCCCTCAACTGCCTCCTACCTCTCTGGGCTTTCCCTGCAGCTCCTACAAGGGTCTGGGCTCAGGGTGCTTGTTTCCCTTGAGCCTGGAGAGCTTCACTCAGGGAAAGAAGAGCAGAGGGAACTGGGCTGCAGCAGACATGGTGCTAACTAGAGCAAAAGATTCCATCTACTAGAAATAGTAGCTGTAGGCAATCTCAGAACCCAGGAACCCTATAACACTCAAAGGGCCTGACTCTAGTGTGGCTCCCTAGGAGAGCAAGATGAATTCCCCATCAAGTCAAGGCAGAAAAGGCTACAAATGGGTCAATTAACCACACATATAAGGAAATAAAGAACTATGCGTGTTTTTTTTTTTTCTTTTCTGTCTTTGTGTGAATGTTGAAGTTGTATTCTAAGAAAATAAACACTTGCTGTAGAGCCTCAGGGTCTGCTGATCAGGTCAATTCACTACCAAAGCTTCAGCACTGGAGAGATTCTAAAAGAGGAAGTCAATGAGGATAGCCTTGGCTAGAAGCTGTCACCTCTGTTTCTGCAGCCTGCTGGAGCCCTGCTGGCCCCTGGGTTGGAGATTCTGCAGATCCCTGAGGCATTAGCTTCAGTTAGATCCAGCTATTTGAAAATGCCATCTGCCCCCATCTCAGGAGGTCCCCAGCTGAGGTCACCTGTGGCCTCTGAGCCCAAAGCACTGCCACACTTCTCTTTGTAACTTGTCCACACCAAAGCCAGAGTGGTGGTCCCTATTCTGTGGTCCTGCCTCGCCCTCTCCCCAGCACAGCACTGCCAGGCCACAGAGAGAAGGATGCCCTGGATAGAAATCTCCAGATGCTCAGAGCTTTCACCAGAACCATTGAGGGTGGGTATTTGACATACTGGTGAAGACCCCACTTGGGATGCCTTCATCCCAAACGGGTGTGCCTACTTTGAGTCACTACTCCTCAACTTCTGATCCAGCTTGGGAGGCAGCAGATGATGGCTCAAATACTTGGGTTCTTGCCACCCATGTGGGAGACCCAAACTGAATTTTTGAGATCTTTGTTTCAGCCTGGTGGAAGACTCTCTCTCTCTCTCTCTCTCTCTCTCTTTCTCTCTCTCTCTCAAAGATAAAATAAATAATTTTTTAAAAAAATAACCAACATAAGATGTGGTCTGCCTCCTCAATAATAAATAAATAATGATAGGACGGAAACATTAACACACACCCTGTGTGTTTCCCCATCATCTGGGGGAATGGTTCTGGGTCTCTCCTTTGGATACCCAAATCCAGTGTGCCCAGGTTCCTTGCATAAACTGGTATAGTGTTTACATGTAACCTATCCACGAACATCCTCCCATACACTTTAAGTTGTTTCTGGATGACTCGGGATACCTAATATACTATAGTTAATATGTGAATATTTGCTGATAAACTGTATTGTTTAGGGAATAATGACACGAAAGAAGTCTATCCATGTTCAGCACAGACGTACTGTTTCTGATTATTTTCAATGCATGGTTGGTTGAACAGATATATGCAGGACTTGTGGATGTGGGGAGATGATTGTCTATGAACTGAATCCTTTTGAATAAAAATTAGTGTCTGTTAGAAAGAACTCATTTCCAAAGAAGGCGACCCACGCTCCCCAGATTAGTGTCTCATTCAGCCTCATGCATTTATTTAGTGCCCATTCTGTGCCAGAATAGGCTGGGATCCAGGGGGAGGGGAGTAAGATACAGAGATAAGAGACTTGGTGCAGGAACGGGGCAGGGTGTGTGCAGAGGGGACAGGATAGTTAACAAACAGTAAACCAAAGGCAACACAGTGTCAGGGTATGGTACCTGCTACAAAGAAAGTAAAATGGAGTGATAGGAGGGAGGGTGATAGAGAGCTGTCACCAGCTTAAACCAGTAGTCAGCAGAGGCCTTCTGGAGGTGGTGACATGCAGTCTAAGAAGAAGGATGCAGGCTTGTGAAGATGTCCAGCAGGAGCAGTCCAGGTAGAGGGGACGGCCCACACCAGGAGCAGAGGTACGAACAGCCTTGGGGTTTCTGAGACAGAGAGGAGCCAGTGTAGGTGGAGAGGGCTGAGCAAGCAAAGGAGCCAGATAAGACGACCTCAGAGAGCAGGGCAGGGGCTCCTGGGCAACCATCAGCAGTTTGCACCTTGTTCTCGCTGTGAGACCAGGGGGTTCTGAGCACAGGAGTTTATGGTCCCATTGATGTCCTCACACTCCAACCTGGCTTCATGAAGAAGGGGTGTAGCTGGCAGTTGGGGCCAAGGAGATGGGCTAGAAGAAGACAGTTGCCATATTCATAGGAGCAAAGATCAGGATCTGTCATCCTGCACGGGAGAGGACAGTTCAGAAAGGTGGAGGATGTGTTTTGGAGCTAAATCAGTGGGATTTGCCAATAAAAAGTACACAGGAAATAAAAGAAAGGGATTTGCTGGGTTGAGGCTCCTGCTTGGCTTACACAATTAAGACTGTGGCAGGACCTTTTACTGAGAGTGGGGGACACAGAAGCCCAAGGAGGAGAGGAAGCGCTTCCTTCTGTGGTATCTGAGGTCTGAGATTCCTATTAGAAAACCAGGCGGAGGTGAAGAAAATACAGTTGGACACATGGCTCCCAAAGCCTCAGAAAGGGCCTGCACATTGAATATTGGGAGTCACTGGCATAGGATGAGCAAAAGAAACTACAAAGGGGAGAAATTCCCTTGAAAAAATAAAGTGTAATTAATGAAGAGAGCAGGGCCCAGGATGATGCCCCTGGTGTTCCAAGATTCGGGTGCATCAGAAATGGCAAAGACGAGTGAGATATGAACAATGAAGCCAGAGGAATATCCAAGAACAGTATGGTAAGGAGTATTCATGGAGGGCTTCCTGGAGGAAGAAGCATTCAAGCCTTGTCATGAGATTGGGTGAGATTTCAATCCAGGTTGAGCAGTTTTAAATGCATCTGGAGGGGACTTCGTGTGTGAGCAAAGACTTGGAGTGGAGCAGAGAAATGAGGACTAATGGAGTCCCAGGGGGAAGAGGGAAAGATGGGTGGCGATACTGGATCATGTGCACGCTGGAGACCAAGAGAGAGGGTCAGAGCAAAGTGCTCTGTGAAGGCATGAGAAAGCCAGGTACACTGTCTCACCTGGGTTTCAGGTGATGAAATGCACTGTGAGTCAGGCTCAAGGATCTAGCATGTTCCTTCCTTCCGCCCCCTCTCCTTCAGCACAGGGCCTCTGAGAGGGCAGCCCAGGGCCTAGGGCCCTTTGCCCCCCTATCAGCTGTCCTGGATCAAATCCCTCCTTTGCTGCCTGCTTTATGGGAGGGATGCCACGGGGAGTCTTTAACCCAAGAACTCAGGAAATTAGCTCCAATTTAAACCTCACTCTCCTTAAACAACTTTCTCTAAACCCCCGTCTGTCCCAAATTAAGGTGTTTTCTTAATTAAGGTCACCTCCCAGTCCCTCTGAAAGCAAAGGTGCCTTGCTTTTCCAACTTTCCTCTTTACCTGCTTCTAAAAGTTTGCTCAACAGTCTGTTTCTCCAAATTCCTCTTATTTTGTAGGAAACGTACCTTCTACCCAAAGAATCCCGAGGCCCAGCCTGGGTGAATCACACCCCATCTGCAGTGGGCCCTAACACCTGCCAGCTGGCAAAATGCAGCTCGACTGGAGGCCTGAAAGGAAGAGGCTAGGGCTGGGCCAGAAACTCAGTGCCTCCAGAGAGGAGCCAGACACACAGGGAAGGGCTGCCTGGGTTCAGGGAAAGCTTCCTGGAATGAGAGAAAAGATAGGAAGATTTGTGGACGGGCATCTTCAGCCTCACCTCAATGTAAAAGAACCCCCACAAGTGTGTTACACACCCTCCCATACACACACACACACACACACACTCACATAATCATATCCTCAAATCATGAACTTGCATATACGATCCACTCAACTGAGGCTGTTGGGGGCCCTCAAATATGATAGTACTTCAAAAAGCTCGTGGAAAATGGAATTAAAAGATATGGTGAGGAGGAGGTATTTTGTGCAGCAGTTGAGGTGTCACTCAGAATGTCCACACCCTATGTTAGAGTGCCTAGGTTCAAGTCCTTGAGAGACAGCAGGTGATGGCTCGAGTAGCTGGGTCCCTGCCACCCACATGGGAGACCTGGATTGAGTTCCCAGCTCCCTTCTTCCCCTCAACCCAGCCCCAGCATTCGGGGAATGAACCAATGGAAAATATTCTCTCTCTCTCTCTCTCTCTGTCTCATTCAAACAAATAAAATAGATAAATAATTTTTGAAATTTCTGTGTGCTGATGGGATTTTTTGAAAAGATACATTTGTTTTAACTTTTATTTAATGAATATAAATTTCCAAAGTACAGCTTATGGATTACAATGGCTTTTCCCCCCCATAACTTCCCTCCCACCCGCAACCCTCCCCTCTCCCGCTCCCTCTCCCCTTCCATTCACATCAAGATTCATTTCAATTAGAAAAGATACATTTGTATGAATATAAAAAAAAACCTCTTTTTTGAAATCATATGCATATTGGAGATCTCAATAAAGTTCATGAAAAAGGTATATTATGCATGGATTTCAATTTTTTGCACCAAAATAAGCTTATCTTTTAGTTGAATTATTTTCATGAACCTTGTATTGTCCCTTGATCATTTTTGTGCATCCATGCCTGGGCCCAGGTGTGTACTACTCACTCCCAGTCTGCTTTCAGTAAAAGAGGGCACGGAGCTTCCTAATAAAGAACACCTGTGATGCACCTGCTGCTGCCCAGAGTGCCTGTTACCCCGTCGCCACCCAAGGTAGCTGGGGGCTGAGGGACTGACTCCACCCCTCCATCCTGTCTCCTGGCTTCAGTATTCAGTTGTAACAATTTGCACATGTTAATGTCTTATTTGTGTCTGTTCTTGGGCCTTTTAAATATGTATGTGTGTCCTAAATACCGGCCCTTGGCAGAAACCACATTTCTCAAATTAGGCCAGAAGGCCTGGGGCTCCCTAGAGCGCATATTATCTGTCTTCCCCTAGACTTGAGACACCTGGTGATGGTGTGCCTGGCAATCCACTTAACCTGGAGGCTGCTTCCAGACTGGGACCTTCACTTCTATTTCACCAGGGTCCTCTGTGTGGCCCAATTCAGGGCTCTGTGGGAGGCATAGTCAGAGTGTTGGAGGTTAGTGGTCATAGACGCCCTGGGCAGTCTTCTTTGGTCGGCATGCACAGAGGGACAGTGGTCACAAAGAAACACCCCCTGATAGTGCCCTATAACCACATTGGAGGCACAGGGCTCCTACGCATCTCTCCACCTAGGTCCAGTTTCAGAAGCTTCAGGAGGACCTTGTGCATGCCGCTACAGCTTGCCTTTTAGTGTTGGTTTTCTCTTCTACCGCCAGAGATAAGACAGAGAGATCAAGTTTCTCCTGGAAAATGACGCATTAACTCTGACATCATTCCCCCTTAATGGGCCAGTGTTATGTTCTGGAGCCTCATTGAGGCAAGGGTGGAATCAGAGAGCTCCAAAGGCCCAATTTTGGTGATGATGTAGGGAAGAAGACCTCCTGGAAAAGAAGGTTGAGTAACAGATAGACAATCCAAACTGAACTCTCACACAATGTCTGTACTATTCAAGGCTCTCCTGGGAAGCAGAATCAATGGAATATATACATTATAAATATATTAGATATATTATTTATGTATATAATATATATATATTTGCTGCTTTCACTATATATGTAAAGAGAGAGAGGTTTACTATGAGAACTGGTTTACATGATTATGGAGGTTGAGAAGTTCCACAATATACCATCTGCAAGGTGGCAAACTATAGAGGCCAGTGTTGTAATTCAACCTATACCCAAAAGTCTTGAAAATCATAGAAGCCAATGTTGTAAATCTCAATTCAAGGTCAAAGACCTGAGAAATGGGTGTGGGGGTGGGGCTTTTAGGTGAGAGTGGAAACAATACAAGTTCTGGAGTGTAAAAACCCAAGAACCTGGAATTTTAATACCTAAGAGCCTACAAAGGCGAATGTCCCAATTCCAACAGAAAGAATGAATTCTCCCTCGCTCTGTACTGTGCAGTCCTCTGTCCAGTCCTCAAAGGTTGGGTAACGGACATCCACATTGGTGAGGATAGTCTTTACTCCATCCACTGATTCAAATGATTAATCTCTTCCAGCGACACCCTTCCATGTCACACAACAATGTTTTAACACCAATCTGGACATCCCTCATCCTATGAAGCTGATGTCTAGAATTAGCCATCACAATGTCCTACCCCCCACCTTTGTTTTGCTGCTTTATTCACCATCCAACCCTCTTCCCAGCCACCCAGAGTATAATAAGGAGTATTTAGGACAGACAAGATTGTGCAGGTGAGGAGAAGCACCTGCTGCTTCAAGACGATGCTCACACCCTTGGACAGAGTGCTCAGAAGGGTCAGGGAATTTATACCAGACCACCCTTGGATGACTGCTCCAGGAAGAGCATCAGTGCCCCCCTACTGGGTACTCCCAAGTCACTCTTACAGTACTGCTAATACTGTAGCTCAAATAGGGCACCAGAGGTGTCAGGTGACCTCCAGAAGCTCTGATCGGTTACAAACATCCAGAGGAAAGAACCTAGACTTACTCTTCCTTCATATTCCAGACACTTAGCACAGCCCAGCATAGCAAGCACTTATAAAGAGCAAACCAGGAGCTCAAGCTATGCACAGCAGGTTAAGCCGCTTCTTGTAACACCAGCATCCCATATCAAAGCACAAGTTTGAGTCCCAGTTGCTCAGCTTCTGATCCAGCTTCCTGACAATGCATCTGGGAAGGCAACAAAAGGTGGCCCATGTATATAGGCCCCTGCCACTCATGTGAAAGACCTGGGTGCAGTTCCTGGCTCCTGGCTTCAACCTGGCCCATTCCAGGCCATTTCAGAAGTGAACCAGCAGATGGATGACCTTCTCTCTTCTCTCTTCTCTCTTCTCTCTTCTCTCTTCTCCTCTCTCTCTCCCTTTCAAATAAATAAATCTTTTTCTTACAAAAAAATAAATGAATCCTACCGACATCCTCAGCTTGCACTTCCAGGTTCTAGAACTGTGAGAAGTGAGTTTATGTTGCTTAAGTCACCTGGTATGTGGGATTTGTTATGTCACCCTTAGCCAAAGTACACACTCCTTAACCCTAAACTCCTCAGCCATCTCTCACTTCTGCTTCCCAGTTTGCTCCTCCACCTCCTCTAGAGACCAGGGATCATAAACACTCTCCAAGTCTCCCTCTGCTCCAGGATCAAAGGCTGGTGCCACAGGAAAGAGCTAAGGAAACTTTCATCTCTGAAAATTAAGTGAGATTGACTCTGCAGAACTGGATCCCAGCATCCTCCCACCCCGCCCCCCTTCTAGTGCATCAGTGAAGATAAGTGATACAAGTCATGTAAACTAGCCAGCCCCTTGAATTCATTCTTGGTAAAATGGTGGAGATGGGGAAGGGGGGCTTAATATGGAACAAGGGCAATTATAAGGGAAATTATTGCTTATATGAAATGGCGACTTATTCAAAGAGTTGAAAAAAGCCAGCTTGCCCAAAATAATCCACAACCCCCCTCCCCCAGCTTGTGGGCCATACCTAAAATTCAAGTATCCAGGGTATTCTTGCCGTATTATTCAAGACTTCTGTTCAAATACCAGTGCCATGGGATGGGCATTTAGCCTGGTGGCATTTAGCCTTGATTCCAAGCTCAAAACCCTGATTCCAAATTCATGCTAATGTACACCTGAGAGGCAGTAGTGACAGTTGTCACTCACATGGGAGTTGTGGTTTCTGTTCCTTGCTCTTGGCTTTGGCCCTAATCCAGCCCTAGATATTGCAGACATTTGGGGAGTAAACCAATGGAAAGTAACTGTCTCTCACTCTTACTGTCACTCTCTATCACTCTACCTCTCAGATAATAAGTAAATAAAAACATCTTTTAAATGCTAATGCCACAGACATGGAAAACAAAGTCATTTTATATCATTTAGACTTTTGGTTCAATTTCTTGTGGAAGTTATGTTCTGTGTGCTGGTTTGGTTTATTTCATTTAATGTTTACTAAGGGAGAATTTGGGCATGGGTCACTTAAAAGAAAAAGGATTTTTTTTAAGATTTATTTATTTATTTGAAATTCAGAGTTACACAGAGAGAGGAGAGGGAGAGGGAGAGGAAGAGGGAAAGAGAGAGAGAGAGAGAGGTCTTCCATCTGCTGGTTCACTCCCCAATTGGCCACAATGGCGGTAGCTGTGCTGATCCAAAGCCAGGAGCCAGGAGCTTCTTCTGGGTCTCCCACGTCGGTGCAGGGACCCAAGACTTGGGTCATCTTCCACTGCTTTCCCAGGCCACAGCAGAGAGCTGGATCAGAAGAAGAGCAGCCAGGACTCAAACCGGCGCCCATATGGGATGCTGGCACTTGAGGCCAGGGCATTAACGCATGCGCCACAGTGCCAGCCCCAGAAAAGGATTTAAAGAAGGTCTACCGCTTACAGAGATGCCTGCTTGAAAGTATTGGCTACTATTTCCTTTCTTTTTTTTTTTTTCTTTTTCTTTTTTTTTTTTTACAGGCAGAGTGGACAGTGAGAGAGAGAGACAGAGAGAAAGGTCTTCCTTTTGCCATTGGTTTACCCTCCAATGGCCGCAGCGGCCGGCGCACCGCGCTGATCCAATGGCAGGAGCCAGGTGCTTCTCCTGGTCTCCCATGGGGTGCAGGGCCCAAACACTTGGGCCATCCTCCACTGCACTCCCTGGCCACAGCAGAGAGCTGGCCTGGAAGAGGGGCAACCGGGACAGAATCCGATGCCCCGACCGGGACTAGAACCCGGTGTGCTGGCGCCGCAAGGCAGAGGATTAGCCTATTGAGCCGTGGCACCGGCCTATTATTTCCTTTCTTATTGCACCAAAGCCTTCCAACAAACAAACAAAGAGGTATGCCCAGCTTGTGCTTGCAGTGAGTAATCTTGGATAAGCATCCCTGAGTGTCTCCAGTATTACTCCAGGGGAGGCTGTTAGAGTGCATTTTCTGTTGCTGTAACAGAATGCCACAGACTGGGTAATTGCAAAAGTGAAAAAAATGTATTTCTCACAGTTATGGAGGCTGGGAAGTCCAATATCAAGGGAGCAGTATCTTGTCAGGGCCTTCTTGCTGTATCACCACATGCAAAGGGAAAACAAGGCAGAGAGAAAAATGGGGTCAAACTCATCCCTCTATCAGGAGCCCACTCCTGCAATGAGAACCTTAATCCATTCATGAGGGCACAGCCCTCATGACCCAATAGCCTGGGAAATCTTCCACCCCCTAACACTGTTACAATAGAACTAATTTCCAACATGACTTTTAAAGGGGACATTCAAAGCATAACAGAGGCCAATTGATTTGTTCAAATAAATACCGCAATTCCAAAGCGTTTAAAAAGCCAGGAAGAATGGCAGGGACTTGGAGTCAATCTTCCACTGTTAGTAAGTGCTGGAAACCCCTGTGGGTGCAGCAATGCATTTTCCGTGGAGAGATCTCCCCAGGAATGCAGTCTCCTAACCCACTGCTTTGCATAAACAGGAATGAAGTGTGAGAAATAAAAATATTCTGAGCAGGAGATGCAATTCTTTTAGGTTCTCTCCTACAGGAAAAGAAAACATCAATGTGCCATAATTTTCCCTTTACTTCCCTTCCTCATTCTCTTCTCCTCTTCTACCTACTGTTTAATGAGTCCCAGAATTTTTCTCCAGAGAACTTTTCCCCAGCATATAACACAACTTTGGAACAAAACACTGGCTCCAGTTGTATGGCCTGAGAATAACAGGCATCAGGGAAGAGAGCAAGTGTGTACGTGGGACAAGGCCGAAGCAGTTCTGCTTTTTCCACTTTACTTATTCAGTTGGGTCTCTCCTTAAGAAAACATTCTGAGACTTATGTGCAGCCTGACCATAGAATTTGTCCAACACAGAGTCCAGACTACAGAAGACTATGACACCACCAGGGACTTAACATTGTTAGCTTCAGTTAGTGTGAACCAGATCTTGAGCCCAGGACTCTCTCTCCCCAGGCTGGCCACCACCTGTTTCCCTTCTTGTTGTTGTATGTGAATCCAAGTCTCCATCATCAACCCAGTTTCCAGCCACCCTAGGATGTGGTCCAGCTCCAGAACCTAGCCTCCTCCAGAGGAGACAGCTCTGCCCTTGACTAAACCATGCCTGCCTGCTGGGCTGGACCAAATCCACTGACTCCCGCCCTCAGGGCCCTGACCTGCAGAGAAGCAGTAGCAGGGAGTCAATAAAACCATGAGATCTCTGGACAACTAGCCTAGGGAGAAGTCTTGGTACCAATTAGGAGCTGGGTTACCTGAGAATGCCACAGCTTCACTCTCATTCAGCTTCCTCATGAAAGGAGGAGGCCTATGCCCTGTCCTCCAGGTTATCTATAAGGAAGAAAGGAGATAATGCATGCATAGTGCTGAGAACAGTGAGTGACCCAGGGAAGCACTGGGACTTGTCGTCTCCCTCATGGGCCTTTCCACACCTTGAGCTGTTTGCTACTCCTGTTGCTGGCTACCCACACCCCTGAGTGCCAAATTTTCCATCTACTGGGTTGAACTTCCCCTTCCTCAACATCTGTCCCGTGCAGTTGGGACAATCTAATTCCAGGGCCCACTTTTTTCATCATTTCTAGAAATTAAGCAGCACTGAATGCAAAACATCTAAGTCAGAAACCATTTACCGAGCACTCACTATATGCCACGTACTCTACTGAGTGTGAGGTATAAAATGAATCGCTTCAATTCTCTCTTCTTCTCAAGGAGTTGGAAGTATAACTTCCACATACATACATGTATGTAGAAGGCCTCTAGGGTCACCATGGGAATCAACAAGAAAAAGAATTCTTGCTTCCTCCTGAAACGTGACCACTGTGGACATGTGGATTCCCACCAGGATCTGATGTCTGAGGGTTTCAGGGCTGACTTCTCTGGGTCTGAGGGGTGCAGGGGAACTGACTTACCCACAGAAGTCTGGCAGTCTCCAGGCTCTGGGGCAAATGGCTCTCCCAGACAGGGCCCCTGGGCAGGCATCCCTTCAGTAGTTCTCTATGTCCAGGACCACAGCCTTGAGACCACCAGGAGATGGTGTTGGCGGGGCTACCTCGGCAAACTCTGGCAATAAAAGTAGAAAACTTAATCTGCAGGTGATCCCTAGCCTCCTCTGGCTCACCCCATCACAATCCCGTCCACTCATACCCTGAGGGGCCCAGGGCATTGGAGCTTGCTTTCATCCTTCCTATTAGGAATGAAGGATGTCACGATGGGCGTGGTATCTGTAGAGCAAGGATTTGAAGGGGTTCCCTAGGCCCCGCCTCCAGGCAGCACCAGCTAAGGCCTGCCCAGCATCCACGTTTGGAGGGCAAGGCCCAAGCCAGCCTTCAGAGAGTCACAGGCGGGGTGGGCATGTGTGCTGGGTGCCTGGTAGGGGAACTGGAATACACATGGAAGGAAGGGGTCTGACACACAGCGCCCACTGCACTCTTACAGCACAGTGCAGTAACTATGTTTCCTGCAGGTCATCCTGGGAGCCCCCAGACAGGGTGTGGGGAAGCACCAGGAGCCTTATCAGGAAAAAAAATGTAAATTAGACTCCAAAAAGGTCCCAAAGAGGGCAGTGTTTGGTTGAAGTCAAGCAAGAAAAGTACTTCAGGCAGACTTTACAACAGCAAAGGCAGAGTAATGGGGAGAGGCACCCAGGAAAGGCCTCAAAGGTGGCCACCAGCTTACTGCATTCCCAGGTGGTTGAAGACGGCCTGCAAGCAGGTAATTGAAAGTGAAACAAAGATCTGAGCCAAGATGCTGAATGCCTTTTATGGCGCTGGTTTCCCCAGCCTGGGCCTACAAGGTTCCCTTGGTGGGTGGACAAGGGCAACTTGTGTGACATGGGAGGTTAGGTGGTCTGCCTGCCCTCTCACTCTCTGGGCTACCCTCAGGTGAATTCTTGGCCTGGGTGCCCTTCACCACTGGTTTTTAGAAGATAGCAGAATGGCTCCTTGGACTGCGACTTCTCCCCTCCTCTTCATCTTTTAACATTGCATTCAAACACCTATGTCCCTGGAGTGACCATTTATGCAGAATCAGCATCCAATAGCCATTACCCCACTCCCCCTAATGCTGCTTCTGAGATGTGTGGTAATTCACAGGAACACGTGCTAAGCTTGTCCCCTTCAATGCATTAACAGTATCACAGGGGTAGTAGCACAGGATCCCACCCAGGCACCCTGAGTCCCCTTACATAAGTACGCATATATTCATGCATGTGCATACACATAACCTCCCATGAAAATTCACACACATGCACCTGCACATGTGTGAACAAATACACATGCATATGCATACCACATGCCTGCCACAGACATACCACGCTCGTCCACACACACACATGCACATACACATGCCCCACTGCCTCCTGACCTCCTCTCAGTTAGATCTTTCCTCCCCTCTCTAACTTCCTCCCTCGTCCCTCTTTCTCAGCTCACATTCACTTGTGAACACCAAGTTCATCCTGAAGGATTGCAATCATCTCTTTACTCACATGGCTCCCCCTATGGGCCATCTCATGCCCTGCATGCTACCCAGAGACAATAAATACAATTGCTTGTTTGCTTCATTTTCTCTGCTTCTCAGGGAGGTCTTCTTCCTGGTCGTATGAACTCCAGTCTCATCACTCCAGCCCTCTTCAGCCTTGCAGACATGACTTCCTTTATCCCTCTGGCCAGGTTGGCTGGCTTTGCCTACTTCCCCTGTGGTGTTTCCCCAGCACCTCGCACAGGGCAAGTACACAGTAGGAGCTGAATATTTGGGGAATGAATGAATGAATGAATGTGTTTTTTTATGGCAGGCAGGTCTGAAGAGATCAAGAGCACTTTGTACTTCTGTCTTGAGCAGCTGCTAGCACTCCTTATGTAATTCTGCACATAAAGGTGCTCATCCACATGTGGCTGACAGCACTTGCAAAAGTCATTTGCATGTTCTTTGAGAAATGACTGCATTTTGTCCTCTCTACCTCTTCAAATCTCACCTGTCCCTGGCCCAGCCATTCCCCTCCCCCTCCCAGAGAGGTCTGATCATGCCTCTCACCCATTCTGCGCCCCATCCCTTCCACAGCACTTCTGCAAGTCTCAGCAATGACTCCTGTCACCATGATGATTAAAGTGCTAGACATGTGGGGGCTGATTCCCCTGTAAGGAGGATGAGCACCCCAGCGCTGATGTATAGTTTTGACTGCCTCATCTGACCCCCAAGAAGAACATGCTGGGTTCATCATGAACTCTGAAAGTTTTGGTTGGCCTGAATTGAGTCATAGCTGCAATTCACTTCCCTTGAAGGGACCACTTCTGAAATCTGAAGTGGCCCTGAATCCTTGGTGACCTCAGACCCTCTCTCAGCAAGGGGTTCAATCAAAACCAAAGTCAACTGAGGAAGTCATTGCTGTGCAGCTGGACTCCTCTTAAAGCCAGAATTCTATAGCCCAGGAGCCATGTGCAAGTGGGTTTTCTACACCAAACCAACCCACAGTGTCTCCACAAGTGCTCTCCTTCTACAGAGAAAAATCCACAATCCCAGCCACACTCAAGGCTCTGATGGTCTTTTGTTCCCCCCATCTTCCATCTGTTTCCAGGATGGCACAGCCCTGCTCTACCCACCCACGCTGTGCGCAGCTGGGCTCTGTTCTGCAGACAGGACATGTCCTCAGAGGGCATGTGCTCTTCCCAACCTCTCCTTAGCAAATTTTGCCTCATGATCAAACTCCCGACTCTGAAGTCTCCCTTGATTCTCCCAGCAGAACTTGTCTCTCCAAACAACACTCTATGACACAGTCCTGCTTTTATGATAATCCAAACAGGTCCAGGGAATAATCCAGTGACAGCAAGGAATTCTCCCTTTTGGAGCACAGAGAGTAGTTGGCCCATGCACACCAGCACTTACCACTGAGTCAGTCAGTCCTCTAAAAACCCACCCTAATTCCCACTTTCTGTTCTGCTTGGCACACACAAATCTTACCTTCAATCTGCCCATACTGGAACATGACTGAAGTCAAGGATGACATAAGGGAATAACAGCTAAGAGGTTGTGTACCTGGGTAGTCTGGCAGGCCAAGGTGGTGGTGGGAGGGAGTAGAGCCCAGGACCTGAGGCTCCCTGTAAGTCCCTCCACACAGGGGTTAACCCAAGGTCACTGAGACCCTCATCTGCTCCATGACTTAGAGAGTAAAACCAACAAGCCCAACTTACCCATTTCCTGCACAGGGTCCACTTCTGCACCATCAACCCTGGAAAATATTGTGTTCTGCAAAGACCATCCAGGGAAATCTTGCCCAGTGACCTCAAGGAACCACCATATACAATGCAATAATCACCAAGCTCTATTTCGTCTAAAGCATAAACACCTTTATTGTGACAGTCAGAGGATGTTGTATTAGAATCTTTCCTAGTCCAGTTATTTTCAGTAAAGAGAATATTGCTACTCTGTTACTACCACACCAATACAGATGGCTACTAAATCCAGAGTATATGGCAACAAGCTCAATAATGTGATTTAGGGTTTGGGAAAAGGAAGTTGAGGGTTCTGGCAGGAAATTGCCCACCATGAAGTGAGGGAATCAATGGGATGGTTAGTCTGGGTGACTGATTCAAGCAGCTGGGCTGAACGGCTGGGCCCAAAGAGCCTCCCCACTGCTTCCAGTAAGCATCCATGTGAGGGTGGAGCCATATGGAGGGTGTCTCCCCCTGAAAATGATGAGATCTCGCCCAAACCAGATGCATCATCTGCTGGTCTGAGCCACAGTTGGGTGCACTGCTCCCCACAGCTGGAACATAGGATCAGTTCCAGGGCCAAGAGTGAAGATTTGAAGGCAAACAACACAGTAAGGGGCTCTTCTCTCTGTCTCTTCTGTCATTTTATATCATGTGACATGTAGTTAAAATATATCCATCAAAGACAACTTGACCAACATAGCGAAGAGTGGAAACAGCAGCTCAGACACCATAGAGGTAGGAAGAACTGATTACAAAAAGATTAAGAGGACAGAATGATGGCAGAATGTGCTGGAGAAAAAAAATTCACATGGTTTGGGAGAAAATGTTTACTAGGGAAAGGGAGACTTGTTTTTTCCCTGTACTTTTAAAGTTATATTTATTTGTTTATTTAGAGAGGCAGAGAGACAGACAGAGATGTCTCATCTATTGGTTCACTCTTGAATGCTTGCAACAATTGGGGCTGGCCCCAGCCAAAGCCAAGAATCGGAAACTCAATCCATCTCTCCCACATGGAGACCCAAGTACTTGAGCCATTACCCACTGTCTCCTAGGATGTGCATTAGCACATCACAGAATCAGAGTCTAAATTCAAACCCGGATACTCTGAAAGGGGATAGACTTGTCCCAAGCAATGTCTTAACTATTGCACCAAATACCCTCCCCTACATTTTTAAAAGATGTTTAAAATAACTAACTTCCACAAAGAAGGCCAGTCCTTTCCTTCAGGAGCTTGGCATCCATGAGTGGGTAGAAGATAACAGACCCATACAATGTGGGGTTTGAACATGCAAACTCATCAGGCATTAGGACATTATTGAGGGACAGTTTCAAGGGGAAACCAGAGACACCAGTGCTTACGAAGGTCATGACGTCAAGACCTGAGAATGCTGCTCCAGGGAATGGCACCTCCACATGGTGTTGGGGGGTTAGAGAAACTCTGGGTGAGACATGGCAACAGTCACTGCCTATAGGATTCTGCAGAGGAGGACTCATGTCATCCCTTGTCTCCATGATGTATAATAAATCCTGAGGGTACCTGGAGCCACCTCTCTGCATTGCTAAGTGTGTGGTTCATGGTTCTCTGGGAAAGGGTTGAAATAGTGGAGCTAGGCTGTGGGAGTGGGCAGGAGGCTGTGGGATGTGCAGGGTGAGACCAGAAGGTGCAGTCTCCCCAGGTGCCTGTCTCCTTCTGAAGACCCCACCCACTTAGCTCCACCAGTCAAGGGCACAGTAGAAATAAGTAATGAGAAGAAACTGTGCTCACAGCTTTCTGCCCACTCCACTGTAAAGAGAGAGGAACAAAGCCTGGATCAGTGTCCTACTCAATGAAGTGCTGGATGGATGCCCACAGAG